CCCTTTTTATATTTTCTCCCAAAGATGGTAGTGATTTTTGTATCTTAATTAATTAATTATTAATTACATCGGTTTATTCATTGTGCAAAGGAAGGACAGCAAGAGGAAAAGGAAAGATGGAAAAAACGTAACACTATTATTATTATTATTATTATTATCGTATACAATATATTATTATATTATTATTAAGTGCAAATATACAGATAATTCATACTGCTCGTTTGTTTGTCACGTATCTTTGTCAGTTCCGTGAAGGTGTGCGGATGTTTTTCAAATGATTTTTTTGTATTATTTTTTTGTTGGAGCGAATTGGGGTACATTTAAAACGTGTGGGTATTTAATTTCGACGTGATTGTCCTAGGGTCAGAAAAGTTGGCGGGGTGATTGCTCTGGCACTCAACGCTTCCTGCAGTTACCTCCGGGAACGCTTCACCTTGATATTACATAGCCTGCGGTAATACGGAGTTCGGGCTTTGCGTATAGCAGGATATACGTATTGCGGATGGGTAGGTGTAGATAGGTAAGTAGATGGATGATCGAGGGTCGGTTAATAACAAGCAGGTAGTCGCAAAGTAAGCAGCCGAATTGGTCTACGAGATGGCGCTAGACTCGCGTCGTGATTCCTGGGAGGAAACGCTTGCTGTCAGGGTTCTTTTGGACCTCGACGAGGATGAACCTGACCTGGTGTTGGACGTGCTGCTCTGGTTGTTCGACGGTTCAGGTCGGCAGAGGATACTTCGTAGGAATCCACGGAAGCCCTTGTGCCACCAGGCGTAGATTATCGGATTCAGAAGAGAGTTCAGGAAGCCGAGGATCGCCAGTGGCGACGCTATCGCCACCTTCAAGGTGCCACAGTTCTGGGTCCTCTCGTCGCACGTGACGTAGACGCAACACGCTATGAAGTAAGGCATCCACGTGACGACGAAACTTCCGGATGTCAGGAGAACGACCTTCACAGCCTTTACCTTGGACGGTTTGCTTCGACGCTTTTGATTCGTAGATTTTGCGTCCTGGACTTCCGCTCCGAGGCCACCGCGAGTGATACGTATTTCTGTTATCTTGTTTTTTTCTGCCGTACCGGAAGTTGCGGCGGTCGCTGCTTGCCGAGCGTCCGCGCGCTGCAACTGGGTCACCTTGTTGATCGCGTGGTACAGGATGATCCCGTAGAGGATCAGCACCAGGAGGATCGGCAGCAGACCGATTACCGTTATCAGGATTATCAGACCTGGCGGTGCCAACTTTATGAACCAGCACCAGCGACCGTTGTTCGTCGAGCCGGACCAACCGGTTAGTGGTAGGAAGCCTATTATCAGACCCAGGATCCAGGTGAAGAGGATCAGGAGACGCGCTCTTGTTGGGTAGACCCATCTTGAATAATTGAGACCGTGGACTATGTACAGGAACCGGTCAATTGCTATCAGACCCACTGAGTAGATTGAGGTTATCGTGCTGGAGACTATCATACCTGTTGATTAAATTAATTTTTCTCTTTAATTAAAATTTAATATTGACTTGGAGATTTAAGGGTTACGTCAAATCTCATCTTACTTTCTGTTATCTGAGTCATGTACTGGAGTTATATGTATCGGTATATGTACGCCTCGGGTATTTATTAAAGCCTGGATAAAAGCACCAGGTCCCGTGCGGATTATACGGGCAAGTAAAATATACCGATCGGCTTCCAAGATAAGGAATTATTAATGGCGAATAACCGGATGAACCTGTAACGTATTGCTGTACGTTTCTATAGGCTCCTTGGATATTCTGTATATTGGTATCTATATCCTACATATATATATATTTTTATATGGTGCATTCGACTACGTGATTATCCAGGATCAACTCGATAATGCACTCAATATCGAATAACGATAGATTCCTTTAAGATACCTTACAATATATTATATGGGTACCAGGATCAGGATCTAAACCTTTCAGGATATTCGACATATCTTTATGAGACCCCTATTACCAGTGGTAGCTGACGTTGTAACCCCCCCAAGTCAAGATCTTTGGTCTTTGCTAAGTCCCCATCCTCAACCTTCCATTACCAACCTCGTTTACGAAGAGTCGATACCCTTTTTGATATTTAACTCTTCTTATTTTTATTATAGATTCCTGTAATTGAGGTTACCTAACTGCACGGTGCAGGTTAAGTGCGTTCTCAACGTCTTGGGGTAGAACTGACCAAAAAGAACTGCCACCCCTGTCAACAGGTCAGCCATGGCGACGTTTCCGAGGAAGAGGTACGTCGCCTTTGGCTGAACTCCTTTTTTCAATAACAATCCTGAAGATAAGGTCACCGCCAGATTTGTCACTATTATCAGACATCCCAGAACCGGTATCAGCACGTCGTACAGAGCCAATTGGGTCTTCACGCCGTAGACGTTGGTCAGGTTATTACGGGGATCTAACGTGGTGCTCACCAGGATGAGACTGTCCGTCGTCACTTCAACGTATTGATCATCACTCACGTACTCCATCATGGGCTCGTTTGACGTTTATGATAATCACCAAGAGACTGGTTCATACACTGTAACTATATTTATCAGGGTATACAAAATTTGATATTGCAGTGTATAAAAAATGACGAATAATATCATCTAGGAAAATAATTTTTCATTAGGTTTACTATCTTCATGACTTGGCACAAGAATACGCTTATGGTACTACTGATAAGGATGGCACTACAGATACTTACAAATATTATAACTGATTGATGGCTATCGATTTACTTGGTCCAGGTACTTTTTTGTACTACCAGTTTTCCTCTAATCACGTTTATCCAATTTTCAGGACTGATTGGATCTTTATAAAATTCATTCCTCCCATCACCAGGGTGACCTCTCTAGTGTATGTCAAGGCTTCTAGGGATACAACCAATATCGACGAATATCCCTAGGTACACTGATAAGGTTAATGCAAATAATCCCTGAAAATAATCCTGAGGATAAACACGTTACTTTGATGATGATGTACTAGGCACCATACATCTACATATACGTCATGTGTATTCTTCCAAAACTAGGGTCGACTTATATTCATTAGAGTAATTAATAATTTAATAATTTACAGTTCAACGGGTCAGAAGACGTTTTCCAGTTTCAGTATCTTATAGGCCCACTAATTGACCATATGATGAAATAACTAGTCATCCACGATGACTTCATTGATGTAAATGTAATGATTTGTATTTTTCTTCTTCTCTTTACCTCTCACTTCTCTCTCCTTCTCTTGCCACTCGTTTTCAGAGTCCCTCGTCAACGTCTTCCTGTCCTTACCGCCATCTTCAGCCACCATAAGAATAAAGGAGGCGATTTTTTCCCTAGGTCTCTATTATTCAAGCAAACCCAACCGCCGCCTTATTGCCAACACCTGATACCGTTGCTCCTACTTAGATGAGACAAAGTCCATCACTCTATTCTTTACTCTGAACTAGGAGGCTGAGTGCTTCGATTACTTCTTTGCTCTTCTCTCAACGTTCTCGCTCAATGGCTCCCTTTATGACTCGTTCAAGATCGATATGGACCACTGGACAATTTCACTGGAGACAAGTTGATCGACGTCGCTGAAGAATCTCCGAAGAGTCACGTACGGTGTACACGATGACACTGACCAGTCCGGGAGAGTCAGAATGGTCCCGTTGATTGTGGCTCATGCATATAATAATTTATCAAGGTCTTATAGTCTCTCTGTAACATCCGTCTGGTTATCTCTTAGTATTTTTTGTCAGGGAAATACCCGAGATCCTTAACCGGATGTCCATTGTCAATCTCGTGTATTCTTTATACCGCGAACGTGATCCTGTTTGACAATGAATAATAATACGTTAATAGGAAAAGATTTTTCTTGATCGTATAATATAAAAATTGGTATTACCTTTTCTTATTGTAATTAATAATTGCACAGTCAGTCTTAGTCTGTATTGGATTTACTATTGACCTGCAATTATTCCAGGTTTGTGCTCTAACGGTATAGCAGAGTACATTGGAGTATCATGGTGTCCATAGGTAAAAGCATTTCCAGGGTATATATCGGGGAAACTCCATTCCCGAATCGAACCCCATCGGGATACCAAGTCAGTATCAAATTACGATACAAAGAGGGTGGTGGGTGTAGAGAACGTCGAATTTCGTGAAATTTCGAATTGCCGGTAGTCTGTTGGGCTACGAGAAATACATTAGAGTAACTAAGGTTAGGAATTGTATAGTTTGACAGGTACGTACTTTGACAGTGATGAAAATCGGTAAGTACTTTAAACTAGGACATGTGGTACTGAGGTTAAGTAGTGTTGAATTATAGGTTAGATTAAATTTTTAAAAGATCGAAGAACGACGTTCAGACTCCTCGTCGTTGATAAATTTTGTCGTAATTTTAACAGACTAAACTGGAACTCTTCCAGGCAGATTGGGTTGATTGTTCGGACAAACAAAGATTAGCGACTCTACCAGTACCGGCATTGTCTAATGATCTTCATCGATTTGAAAACTGTTGAAATTTCTTTGGAATCTCCCTCTCATTACTCGACTAGGAGAAACCCTCCTACCTCTTAACTCTGACGGCTTTCCTATCTTGTATAGTTGCCAAGGAGCCGGGGTGGAAAGTACATACAGCCCCTATAACGCAGACAGCAGAGTCGAGGTACTAGGGTGCAAATACCCTGATAATAGAAGACGAGAAAAGACAAGAGATTTGAGAGTGTGTGTGTGTGTGTGAGAGAGAGAGAAGAATCGAAGAAACTACAGAGTGACAAAGAAGGTAAACGAGGAGGAAGATTCGAGCCCATCACCTATCCCATAGGAAACCTTATTCTCTACGTCTCCTACGCTCTCACCATTCGAATCCTCTTACATCTTCGAACCAAAGGAGGGACGAAGACAAAAAAAATCTGTGATCCTCTCCCAGAGGGTAGATTCCAACAGCGACTCCATTCCCCAGGTAAAATCTACCTACTTGCACTATAGATAACACGATAACTTATGGAGTTCTAATGTTTGACACTATGGCTTCGAGGAAACACGACAATGAGCAGCCGCCGATGAGCTGTGGAGAAGTTTGTCAGAGCGAGAATGGCTCAGTCAGTCGGTAGGAGTTTGTTCTTGAAAGTGGTGTGGAATTGTACTACAAAGGAAAGCATAGCGTATATACGAGAAGGAAAATGACTGGTAGGTAAGGTAGATAGGTAGGTAGGTAGGTAAGAAGACACTAGTAGAAAAGTGAGGTGGGAAGGGGATCCGGACCGGTCTGTAACGGATGTATAGTGCTTAGCTATTACGGTGGCGCAAGTTGTAGGTTACGAATGAAAGTAAGAGAGAGAAGAGGTTATAGGATGAGAAAGAGAGTTAGATGCTGCGGGTGGATGGAGGTTAGGTTAAAGGGACGGAGAAGCTTGGCCATGGTGGTAGGGATAGGACGGTAGGAGAGAGAATGAGAGAGAGCGAGAGGGAGAATGGGGAAAGACGAGGGAGTAAGTAGTCGAGAGATACCGAGTGCTGGGTAGAGGCTAAGGAGAAAGAGAGAGGGAAAGAGCTTAGCTAAAGTGAGAAAGAGACAGAGAGAGAGAGTCCCACTATGGGGAAATACGAGAGAGTGGAAGGAAGAGCCAGATAGGGAGAGAAGCAATGGCGGAGCTGTATCGATGTCCGGGCGCGTTCACTGTCAGCACACGGCCACATAAACAGGTCCGCGGCTGCAAATAACCGGCTCGGCCGCCGATATGGGGATACGACGAAATGCGATATAGCCTGCCCGTTAAAGCTATACCGATACTTGATATCTCGTGCTCTAGGAAGTTCCGGGATACGTACGCATCCAGCACGTATTTATAAACATCGACGGAAAGACAGTACCTTGACGAATGGATTTCCTACGACGATTTAATACTCAGCTTCCTGTATCATCTGACATCTGGAATCTCATTGTTGGGAAGGATGACAGAAGTACTTTTCTGCTCCATTCACGTGTCATTGGGAGTACCCACCTGTGTAAGCGTCAACATAACCTTAAAACCGGCTATGCGTCGCGTGCTGACTGCATAGAGAGACAGGACAGGTTGGTTAGGTATGCATATACGTATTCTAATGTATACCTAGGTATGCTAGATTAGGTTCGGCTGACAGCGGAAAATGCACGATAATTCTTTTTTACCCTCTAGGAATTAATAGTGTCCTGTGAATTCCTACCGGGACGACTAACTTGCTACTGTTTTCCTGGATCTGTTGGGGTGTCTGTATACATGCTATTATGGCATTAGGATTCTAGTGCAGATAGGACTTTGCTATGGGTATTCTGGACGATCCGGTGGATCTTTAATTATCTTTACTGGTTAATTATCGAGGCGAAATAATACCGCCTGTTAAATTATTTTATTACAGGCCATACCCCGCGCTCTTACCCACTTTTGTGTACAGAGCTCTGACTGTCCTCGCGTATATATATAATATATATATATATATATATGGAAATAGGGTTGGTAGGATATCTGCTGCGGGTAGTTTCATGAAATATCGGTTATTCTCCTTAATCCCATTATATTCGAGAGAATTCAAAGTACATCGTAAATTTTCCCGTCTTGAGAAACCAATCCCTCTCCCCTCCTTCTCCACCCTTCTTGCCCCCCCTTCACCATCCTCTGTGAATATTGCTGCGTGGACATATATTTTTTTTTGTTAGCCCACCCATCCACCCTTGGTCCTCTCTTTTTCTTTTTTCTTTCTTTTCTATACATACAACCCATCCACAACTTCCTTCAACCCTCCGCCAGGATCCTCCGCATTAAACGATGCCGGCTCAGGGTCGATTATGCGTGTTGCGTTTCCCACGGCTTGTTTTTGTTGTCTCGCCGTTGGTTATATCACTAGACATAGTGGAGGGGGGAAGGGGTCAAGGGTTCAGATCTTGCGGAGGGTGGTTTTTACCTTTTATCTTTTGTATATCAATTTCTCTCTCTCTCTCTCTCTCTCTCTCTCTCTCTCTCTCTCTCTCTATTTCTTACCTTTAGCCTTTCTTTCTCTCTTTAACCTTTTTTTTTCTCGGTTTCTAGCTGCCGCTATTCTGCCGGTGGCACTTTCACGGCGAAATAACGCTCCAGCCATCCTCGTGCTCCTCCACCTTGTCCCCGGTACTTTTGCCTCCATCGGGAGCGTCTCGGCCGACCTCCTTCAACGACGCCAAACCACCTCGAATATCATCCGGCGTGCAGAAGGACCTTCCGCAGTATCACCAGCAGTGGAACAGACGGATATTTGTAATCAGCAATCGATATTGAATTTCTCTGGAATTCTCTGGGGAATTAGCGAGAGGTGTCGGCCCCTGGTGACGATACGGATGCGGTTGTTGTCTTGGGGATGAAAGTTCTACCAGAGTACGAGGAGCGTGGAGAGGAAAAGAAGAGAGAAAAAGTTAAAAAAAAAAGAAGAAAAATAATGGACCCAGAATTGAGCCTGGCTACGACTCCTAGTGAAATGGGTGGCTGGGAATTTTTCGCTAGGGGGATAAAGTCGACGGTGTATCTTATGGGGACGTTGGGACGGGATGTGCCGCGCATAGGAACGCATGAATGAATGAAAAACAGAGAGAGGAGGAAGGCGAAGGCGGTTGGAGTAAGTGAGAAAGAGAGAGAGAGAGAGAGAGAGAGGCGGATGAACTTGTGGCTACGAGAGGGCGAGTATCGAAAAGAGTCGGAAGTTCCTTGAGGAGGAGGCGCGGAAGAATTGGAAAAATAGATGGACGACGGAATCGCCGGAATTATTGGAATGGAAACCCAGGAACGTCGCTTAATGGCCGGGGAAATAACGAAGGTACATTTATTATTCAGCGACGCGTATTTACAAAGTTGGAAAAAAGGACTCTGGAAAGTTTGGCTGTGAAAAAAGGAAAATTAAATGTCCGACTAGAGACCAGATGAGAATGCAGAATGAGAGAGGAATAGACCAAGAGCGAGAACGAGAGAGAGAGAGAGAGAGAGAGAGAGAGAGAGAGAGAGAGAGAGAGAGAACAGAGAGAGAAGGACGTGCAGACGTCGTTTGTCAAATTTAGCATGGTCGTCTCTACGAGCGTCGCGACGGTCTCGCCGACGCGTCCCTCGTCGTCGTGCCGTGTCGCCGTGGTTGCATCCGGTCCCGGATGCGTCCCCGGCAATTTGCGGATTTAGCTTGAGCATCCTAGTACGTCGTAGCAGCCAGCAGTAGCAGCAGCATCATCACCATGGAAATACAGGACGAGGAAGAGGAAGAGCACAAGCAACACTAGGATCTGGTGATCCCGTCAGCAGTGGGATGAACTCTAATGAAAACCGGCCCTTGGTGACACGTGACACGTCGCCAAAGGAGAACGAGCTAACCATGGGTTTGTATCTGCGCTTAAGATCCATACTTCGGTTTCTCATGTAAATTACGTCATTTCCGCTTGACAGATCACAGCCAGATGCGGAACGTTGCATTCTCCACAGCATCCTTCAATCGATGCACCTCCTCTCCGAGCTACCCTTACCCAGGATCAAGTCAGCCAGTCAGCTACTACCTTCGCTGGCACTCCTTACTCTACTGTGTACCGGGTATAGCTTCTCTCTTTCTCTTTTTTTAAATCTCTATCCGTCTCCTTCTCTCTATCGGTACTTGCCCTTCCCAATCTCACCCACGTTCTCTTCTTTCTTCCCTTTCACTGACTCTCATTCCTTCCTTCTCTGTCTTTCTATTTGGTACACCCTTCCCACCTCTCTCTCCCTCCCTCTCTCTGTCTCTCTTCCACCCTTGCCTCTGGCTTCATTCACCACTTCGCTGGCGCTAATTCGCAGAAAGTAAATTGCAGGGAAAAAGGGGTGCTTGCTTCCCAGACTCCAGCCCGCCTATATAACCAGCGGCACCCCTCCTGCTGGAGCAGCCCCCAAGCAGCCCACACGAGAGCCAACCACCAAGTGGATATCTCGTTCCACCAATTTCTCGATTCGCTGCTTCAACTTCCCTTCAACCTTTCGCATATGACCTTGTCGCGCTTCGCTTATGCTTCCGCTTCGTTTTACCAGACGTCTAGAAACACCGTGATGCATAGACAGGAGACCCACCCTCCGAGTGGTACACGCGTGGAGCCTTATGAAGAATCAGAGAAGAGGAAATGGACGGTGGTAAAGGAAAGGAGTCAAAGAGGCAGGTAATATCAAGATCCGAGTAGCTTGCTGCTAGTAACAGCCTAGTAGTCCGACTACACTGTGTATCCTTGTTCTCAGTGGGACCTGGCGCCGGTGGCAGTAGGAGCAGTGGTAGTGGTAGACGTCGCCGTTGGATTTCCCAACTCAAACCAGCCTCTGGTTATGTCAAAGAAGCGTGGAAGCAAAGGGGTAGCCAAGCCAAAGGAAGTCGGGCGTACTGAAACGCAAGGGTAAGTATAGGATAAGGCAAAGGAGCTGAAGTAAAAGTTTGACAAGTTTACCAGGGAAGTCCCTTCGCCGTTTTCCTCGAGGATGGGACGCCGGGAGTGGCAGGGGTAGTCGAGCCGTTTCCTAGGACCCACTACGTAGCTGAGCCCGTAAAGGGACATGATATCGTCACGCGATCTGCGCCAGTCTATTACTCCACCCCCAAAACTAAATCCACACCGGCTGTTAGGAAACCGTAACACATGCCTGTGGCTAAGGGTAGAAGAGCGAGAGGGGAGGGATGGCCGATCGAAGCGCAAAGATAACAGAGGGATGGGATAAATGGGTCGCAAAGTCTTCCTGTCCCTTACACTCCCTTGCTTACTCCCTTCACGCTTATCCACTCTACATCTATCGGCAGCCATGCCCCTCTTGCCCCTTGTACATCCAGACACTACTCCCATCCCCTGGCATAACGTCTTCTTCGCTAGCCGTCCTCTTCCTCGTACTGATTCTCATACTATTTCCACCTTACTTGCTACTTCTCACTCTTTGACTATCTGTGTCTTGTGGTATGCTATCACCGGGTCAGGTTCTTGCTCCTAGGACTGCCTCCTGGACTGTCTGTCTTCCCCGTTACCCCGCCGGATGTCCTCTAGGTATTAACCATGTGCTTGGTGAACCCAGGCAAAAAGCTAACTCGTACGGACTGTATAATCTCATAATTGATTTCAGGATCCCCTTGCGGATGAACATGACGATGAGGAGGACGAGGAGCCACTGGGTATATCTTATGCAGATGGAGCACCAGGCACATTCGAATATCGGTTCGTCGACCCAGAATCTTTCCAGCACGTTTGTCTCGCTCGGTGAATACGTTCTCAGAGGATTGGTAAGGGGTTTTCACGTTGCACCAGAGGGGCTTTGCCAAGGCAGCGTTGGTATAAGGTACGCGCCGGTAGGATGGGGATGGCGAAATGGAGGATGCGAGGTACGAGCTACCGGATGTCGGGACATGGTGTAGCAGCACGGCTCCAGGTAAAAGGTACCCTCCATGGAGCCCCTGACCTGGAGAAGAATTATTTTCGTTGCTTGCAGATTAGACGCGGCACTCTCGCGGAGTAGCAACTCGTGGAAGAGGTTACATCTCTGTCTATGTGGAATATATATATATATATATATATATAGAGAGAGAGAGAGAGAGAGAGAGAGAGATAGAAGAAGAACGAAGAGCAAGAGAAAAGAAAAAGGTTCGTAGTGAGAGGTGAGTAGCGTTAGTGGAGCCATCTTGGCGCCAGAACGGCTTATCTCTGATGAAATCTCGCCAGGAGTGCGGGCCGTTTACGTCGGCGTAACCTCCCCGTGGGAGTTTGTCACTTTCGCGGCAGGAGGAAGGACGAGGATGAGGAGGAGGTTAGGGAGGCGAAGGAGGGAGAACATGGATTTTTTATTTCTATTTTTTATCCTCTCCTCTCGTCTCTCTCGCTCTCGTATATTCTTTTTTATTTTGTTTTATCCAGACGCTCTTTCGTCGACCCGGGGAATAGCTCCTCGGTCCCGAGTACGAAAACCGGTGCCTTAGGTAGGTAGGTGGGTAGGGGACGGCCCCCAGGGTTGGATATCTGCGTACCATAAATTGTTTGTTCCTTCGTCTAGACGTCAACAACCACCGCCATCCAACGTTCCAAGACAACTGTATACCTATATAGAGTGGCTTAAGGGTCTTAAAAAACACACTCAGGCGGACGTGACGTAACAGTTAAGAATCCCTTAAGAATATTTCGGTCCCCCTGACCGAGTTGAAATTTAAATCAAATTTAAATGTTCAGGTGAAAATCAGTTGAGTCTGCGAGTACTCAGCTTTGTCGTTCTTGGGAGTTCTGGGTAAACGGCAAATGAAAGGATAAAAAGTTAGAAATTCAAATAACATCCGGTAGTGCTATGTGTATTTTTTTTTCTTCAGTATGGCCATGCACTCGCCCCAGTGTGTACTGTACGTTTTCATGACACCCTACAATTTAGTCAGCCGTTGAGCAAAGTCACTCTGGCAATTTGTTCGAATTCTGTCACAGTCCTGGAATACAATGACAAACGACGCTGAAGCCAAATATTGATACAATATAAAAGTCATCTTGGTATATTTTAAGTATTTTCGATCCACCAGGAGGCAAGCTGAACCAGGTGCCATAGGTCGTTTACAGCCACGGCTAAACAGTCGACCAACCACCAGCCGGCTGGCTTTTTCCCGGGGCGAACAATCGTTAACGCATTATGCCAATTGCGAGGTCGGCTGGAAATCTGTACCAGGAGGGGTCCCAGCTCAACCGGGTAATTTTGCACGATTGCTGAGGTAACACACTTCCTTATTGTTTTTTGCCACCATTCAATATTTCTTAGCAGCTGTTGTCGAATAAAAAGGAATATACAAGAAATCCTACTGCATTGTTTTCGCGTTTACTTACCAATATTAATTTCTAGAGATATCCTAGTAAAGCGTATTAATTCCATGGTTATAATCACACAGTCAGGAATTCCAACATCCTCATCACCCAGAGAAAACAGCTACGATCAGCACTGGCGATACGTTACAGGCGTAGTATCCGGTCATGTATCTAGAACGTTTGAGGTTAGGTTACCTATCTGACGTATACATAATGAGCGTACGTATCTGTTATAGATACCAGGGTCCTGCATTATTAATGCTATGAAAACAGAATGTAAATGGCAGGAGATGCGAGTCCACCTGAAGACACCTGGAAGCCAAAAAGGATCTCTTGGGTAAGGATCGTTACTTTTATTAATCCCTTTTGCAGGTGGGCATTCTACATACATGATGTTATTACGTCAAGGGTGTCGGATGAACATGGGCTTAAGTGAGTATGCTACCCATGACAGGGAAACCCTCTTCTTAGTATCCCAAATGTCCCTAGGACACTTAAGAGCTTACTGGCGTAAGGGTTACCTGTTTCAATGGACTCATTAACCTTCTAGAACATGGAACAGGTTACCTACACCGGTCAATTTTACGACATTCCGCCATTTTGTCATTTCGCTTTAAGTTAGCTAGAATCCTGATGGATGTTTCTCTCTCTCTCTCTCTCTCTCTCTCTTCTCTGTACAGTCTTGCCGTTCTAGGAATAGGACACTAGCTTGCTAAGCCAATCGCAGAGGGGACACAAAGGATGGTCCCTCTTGGCCGGAAGGACTAAATGACTCTTCCTCAGAGACTACTGTTTACGAAACGGACGGATCGCATCTGGTGGCTTCTACTTAGAGTTCCGTTAAGGACGCGAGCGAGAAAGATAAGACTAGAGACGTGAATCGTCAACCTGAGGGAGAAGGATAGCAGCGACGGAGGCCTTCTTCTCCCGGATCCTAATTTTCCCAAGGATGCTTCGGCTAAGCAAGCTTACGAGCTGCCTCGACCTAACCTCTATCCGCCATTAACCTTCCCTCTGGGTCCTTACCAGCGGACAATGAAATTAGCCGTTGGAGCCTTTTGCGAGGTGCAAAGGAGAGCCTACGAGGATGAGGAGGATGAGGACTGGATTGATATAAGGTGGGAAAATTCCAATGGATTCCCATTGGATGGCTGTATGTCTGCGTGTTGCAATATTCGTACCTACTGTGGGCGTATATGGTTCTATGGGGAAACTAGCTTTCTCTCTAATCAATGGTCCAATGGCCGCTCGACGATTCTAACCACAATTAATCTTCCAGAATGTTCTGCGAGTACGTTCCGATCGCGTGATCCGGAGGACATAACGTTACCCGATGACCAATCGAACACTCGTCCCGGGATCCAGGACGTGGCATATCCCGGGAATTCTCTCTCCTCCCCTTTTCAGCTCTCTCTCTCTCTCTCTCTCTCTCTCTCTCTCTCTCTCTCCCTCTCGTCATCTCTTCATCACTCCCTTCAAGCTCCTACTCAACATCAGTTTCATCCAAAATCTCATAGGGAGCCTTGTCTCGCGTGACATACGATTTCCACGCAGTGTCCTTCATCCTTCCCCAGGTCGAACGAGCCATAAGCATAATTACCCATAACCCTAAACCGTTGCGTTACTAACGTCCCCCTTGCTCGCCTGTGAAAACCTCAGGAACCTCGTGAGACCTTGGAACTTCGGTAGACACCTTTAAACTGTAGACCCTCTCTCTCTCGCTCTCCTCTTCTCTTTCTGTTTCTCTGTATACTTTGAACATTGAGTATCCCACCGGTATTCCAACTGGTTTCCTACCACTTCTCGCAGACTTCCGGAAACCTTTCCACTTTGCTCCCGCAACTTCTCTCACTCGGCTTCTCTCCTCCCTCCGTGATATATCCCCGTAGACTCTGGTAGTTTGTTGGTCATGGTATGTAATCTCAGGCTGGACCAGACAAAGCGTGACGATCTCACCCCCGCGTTAACCACCCCCCCCAGTAAGCCCCATTCCATCGTTATACACACGTACTTTCTAGGGAGATTCTAGGACTAGGATGACGAAGGTTAGAGGTGCCTATAGGCTCTAGGTTAGTAGCATACAAGGAGAACAATTCTAGGGGTAGCACTGGGTACCAACCAGTCACGCTTTGGCCCCCCTCCAGAGTTAGAGACTTGCCTGGGATGGTTGGTAACTCAGGAGGGTCAGAGAAACGAATGGGGTGAGAGAGTGCGCTAACTGCAACCCCCTTATGACTCCCTATAACTTGGCTATAGTCAGCGACCCCTACCAGGGTTCCACCACCAATCCGGCCGCAGGCCCGTATGTCCACCATCCCCACGAATACCCGTCTACCCGGCTGCAACGAAACTTGTTACGGCGTAGGAGAGATTTGTGAACGGGCACCGGTGACAGGGTTCTCTCGACCCTTACGTACAGCCCATCTACACCCTACAACCTACTACCCTTTCACCCTCTTCACTCTTTGAGGATTCACACGATCAGCATCCCTGTTCCAGACGATACGTTTCCCATTGAGCCAGCATCCCTTAAAGCTTTATCCATAGCCACGTACCATTTATAATAAAACTTGTTTTCTCTTTTAGCTACCAGCCCCGATGTTAATCAACGAGCAGCCTTTTCTCTCGGCACCAGGTCAAAGTTTCCTGGTAATAGGATTGTAAGTTCAGGTGGTGACCGGTTACCTTACAGAAGGATTATCCGTGCCAGGAAGTATTACTCCCTTGAACCCATCCCTTTAACCAGTTCAGTAGCTAAACCCTGCGCTGCTCAGGCCTTGCTCTATCTCTCTCGCTCTCTCTCTTTAGCATCACCTATCCTTCATCGAAACTCGTTAGGCAGTAGAGATTACTGTGGCGAATGTGCGAGGAAGGTTCGTCATCCCAGGTAAAGTTAATATCTCAGGTTATCTTTGTCTCACTCTCTCCTTCATTGTATCCTCCCTTCTTCTTTCAGGATCTTCAACCAGGTCCTCAGCATAGTCCTCCCGATCCAGGACTCCTCTTCAAAGTTACCTCTTTCGGCGTCCCTTTCGACGGCGTATCCCGATCGCTGCCAGGATAGCCCGGCAGGCAGAAAGGGTCCAGCGGTAACTGCAGGTCCTCTGATACACCCTCCATCCTCTATATATATATATATAACAATACAGTACACTATAGTACGACACAGTACGCTTGTGTATAGGTATGTACAGGAGCCGTGGCAACACTCCCACGGGAGCTGGCTACCCTGGCCCACCTCCTTCCTCCTTCCTCCTCCTCCCTTTTCCCACGGCCGCAGCCGTGTGTCCGTGTGTAACGAAACTTGTTACAGCGTAGGAGAGATTTGTGAACGCGAGGCGGCAGTGCCCGGGCATCAGGGCACCACGTACGCATGCGCAGATACCCTCGACGTGGGAACGAGGGTTAGAGCCACATCTCTGAGGGTTCCAGGCAGTACGGCCCGGGACGCGCCGGGATCATTCAGCGGGCTAGGCCAGTGCTTTTCTTCAACCCCCGTGGTCGACACATCGTGCCGCTCGGTCGTCGACGTGATAACTGATAACACGTTGTTAAATCAGAAAAAGTTAAAAAGAAATTATCCGTATATATATATACATACGCATACATGTATATACTGTATACAGTACATACAGTATATATATAATCTTTATAAGGAATTTATTAATTATTTACTCAATGAAACTCTTATCAATATTTTGATACCTCCCCTTATCTTTCCGTCGCCTGGGGAAGGTCAATCATATCAGTTACCTTCGGCACACGTGTCGTTATTAAAATACGCCAAGTTTCTGGGCCGGTCATGTATCCTGGACCCTCGAGCTCCACGAGGGCCACGTGTCGTACTCCACGGTTCACGCGTGAGCTCCGTTAGTGTTGTGCACCCTTGGAGATCGCTGCAGGAATGAAACCAGGATCGCTGGCGATCACGGTGATCGCTCTTCTCGAAATAGGCATCCGCGTGCGCGCTGCACTTTATCAAGGTAGGTGTATATAACTTTATAAAAGTTTCATTGTACTCTTCTTTTTCCTTTTTTTCCCATCGCTCTTTCACTATCTCCTTATCATTAAACTCTTGCCTCTCCTTCTCTCTCTCCTATCAATTGCCAGCCACTTAATGCGCTACAGATATACAAGGACCTCTTGATTACCAAGAGTACCGTGCAGAAAGGAGCCTTTATGTTTTAATCGTATACTCAAAAGCGCTTGGATGTGCTCCCGGCTAATTGTATGATTCTAGGGTACTTCGCACCCTAGATTCAAGAGTCCTTTCCTGCGTTTCTGATAGGGAGACTTTTTTTTTTTAATACTTCTATTATCTCTCTCGCTCTCACCTTTTTCACTCTAGAAGCACAAAACTCTATTGGATTAAACGCTCTGCGATTAGCATCCACTGATTGGTCCTCCAACTTCCCAACTTGATTTTTCGTTGCGTTTCGAATCGACTCACCCTGTAGCTTATACGGCAGTTGGATACGGAATCCGAGATACACAGTGCACATCGTCACGGACAATTCCCCAAGGATACTTTGCATGCCTCGACCGTAGCCCGATGCGCTTTCCCACCTCAGGAAGCACGACTCCTGCCAGGGGTTGAGTTTAGTCTGTAACATTATATACGCATATAGCAGCAGCAATGTTCCTCACCCAACGTAACCGTATTCCTCTTTGTATCTAGCAGTACACGCACCAGTACGAGTATCCGTATACGGTCTCCCGCGAATTTCTATACCTGGTGCTTCTGTATCCATGTAGTAGCTGTATGAGGCATAGACCATTGCATACGTGCATAGACCATCCTGGGCTATATCTCTTGGGTAAACGCCGCTAAAACACACTGCGGGACAACTGCGGATATTCCACGTAGCTGTTTCAGTCCTGATGAAAAGTTTGTAGTAATTGTAGGTGAAGGAGAAAGGTAGTGAGAGATAGAGAGAGGTAAAGAGGGAGTAAGAGCTGGGCGGGTTGAAGAAAAGAGGGGAAATTACGGTTGCATGCTCAGTTTTGTCCGCCGGCCAGCTAATGACAAGGAACGGCAAAGTTCTGTGAGGATTCTCGCTAAAGAGATTACTCCAGTTCCTCGTCCTCCACGTCTGCTACCCCTGGCCACAGGGTCTCGCTACCGTTAGCACCGTTAGACTACTACTGCCCACGATCTGGTCCCTTGACTCTTCTGCCTGCTCTCTCTTTCTCTGTCTATCTCATTCAAGAGCCGGTAGCTGATAGTCGACGGGAGAGAAAGAGACCAGGCTAGTAGTGTGGACACGGGGAAACGTAGCAGCCTAGGTAAACTGACTCCTGGTGTTGAGAGTAGCTGAAGTGAGGGTGCGATAGACATAGTGTGTACTTAGTTGTTTGCAGTATCGCAAGAAAAAAAGGAATCCAAAGTCTCCTGAAGAACTTTTCGCAGGAAGTCAGGATCGATTGTTAACTTTTCAATTGGTTAGCTGTGCTCTGGTGCTATGGGGTATTTTACATTGAGAAAAGGGAAAAAGAGGGAGAGAGAATATTTGTATTTGCATACTTGAAGCTTGTTCGACGAACCATTCAGACTCTGGTTTGACTTTTCCTGGTGTAAGGTTCCCGTAGATGGTACGTCGTTTGGTACTGTGTAAGCATGGTACATTGGTACAGTATGCCAGTGAAGTCAGGTTGGTCCCATTACCAGACAGGAACTGGATAGAGTCTAGGATATAGAGAAAGAGAGTAGTATAACAAACTGCACCAGGCAATAAAGCTCTCAGGATGTTCTCATTAGTGAAATTACTAGAGTCCTGGTGTAGCTTCACCAGGTATCTAATACCAACCATCCGTAGTCCTTGTCGTTCTGCAATTTCAAATTCTGCTTAACTTCAGCACGTATGGACTTCGGAATCGTTCAGATCCTTTTCAAGTTTTTAGATCAGCACTTTTACACAGTCTACCAGGTACCAACTTCAGGATGGTGTTTACACGTTCTAGTCTTCTACTGCACTTAAGGAGTCATGTGCCGTGTGATATTACTATATTTCCACTGATAAAGATCCTGTCGGAGTTCACCCTGGTGCTTATATTTATGTTTTAACTGCAAACGTGTCACGAGGATGTCTTCAGGAAGACGCTTTACGGATACGATATATACGTCGTGGTGAAAATTGTCGTCGAAAGTCGTAAGTTCCTCCGAACGGGACGTGGAAACTGCCATTAACTTCTTAGAAATAAAATCCATTGCTAATAGAAAGTTCTTGCTATCCCGTGGGAGATGTAATTAGTGTGATCTTCTTGAAGACTTTCCGGGTAAATCATCGATCCTGTCCGATAGGGATTCTACGGGATAGTTAGTTATATAAGTACCCCATCCTGCGGACTAGCCGAGCTTGGATTCCCCAAGGGTATATCCTTCTGTCCTCTCGAAGATCCTTGCCAGATATACCTCCTTACAGCAATCGTCCCTCTTTGTTTGATCCAGGTATATTCTTGAATAACGTACTCTGAAACTGTTTACAAGGATATTAACACAGGATACGTACGGCTCGAGGAAGCTAGGAGTAATAAGGAATTCACTCTAATAATGAATAGCACCTGGATATCCTGGAACGTCGTCTAAGCGGTAACCGGCTTAATAAATCGGTTCCTGATTTATGCAGTCGTTACTCTTCTGGCTGGGTTGTCCGAGTGATTGATCAAAGAGTTCCTATAAGAGAAAGAGAGTCAGTGGTGGGGATAGAGCTAGAGGGGAGGACTAGGAACGAGGAATACGAAAGCAGAAGATAGAAGAGAAGAAAAAAGAGGAGTAAAAGGAAAAAAAGGGTCCTGAGAATGCTTTGTGCCTGTAGGGGGTCAGTGCGTCCCGGGTGTTCCTGGTTATCGCGATAATAGATTAGCCAAGTGTCGTACCAGCGCGTGCCCTGGACAGGAGTGCCAACCTACAGGGCCAGCAGGCTGTCAGCTTTCAGGCATGAGAGTCCTTCAGCGAAAGGTTGCCTCGTCGAAGGACACTAGTCCTAGGGTGAGACTGGGAGAGCCAGAGGCCGCTTTGGATCCTGAAGCTGTATCGGGACTCTTCTTGGTATGCGTAGAAGACCGTGTCTAACCGTAGTCAGTGGTAGTTGTCTCTGTAGTGAGAGGGAGAGAGACGGAGAGAGTGGGCTCGACACTGATTTCCATCAGATTCGAATCACATGCCAAATTAATTCTGATCGTTTGCATAGCCGAGCAGTCGACATTCTAATTCCATTTGGTCGTTATCCCAGGAAGGAGCTGCTTACAAGGTACCTCCTTCCGGTCCTCCCAGAGTCTTCCTGTCCCTTCCTTTACGATTTTAATCAAATAACCTAGGCGTTTGGAGGCTGCCAAAAATTGTTTCTCTTGTCGTGACATCCGGGGATTCAATTGACGTTGTATCACTCTCATCTTGATGGCAGAGCAGCTTCAGACTGCGGAATAAAATTGTAGAGTGTAACTGTTGAAATATTACTCACCCTTTTCTTTTAATTAAAACGCTTGACGTGAAACTTTACGAATTTTTCCTTACTTTACGTCCTTCGTTCCTTCGCGTACATTTCGAGATACGCACAGTCGTCTGCTATCTGAACTAGGAGTCATATCGAATCTTAATCGATATAGCAGATATCGATTGCGCGAATTCGAGCTGTCAGATATAATGGAAACACGTAAAAAGAAACCTTCCTCATACGTGACTGGATATAAATTTTTACAATGAGAAAGATTCGCTCTGATTTCTCAAGAGAGATAATATCAAAATAGCGTGAGCCATTGGTCCGACTATTTACGTGTAGTCAATATACGGCTAGGAGCACCCCTCTTATTGATTTTTTTTATTTCTTCTAGCTTCCTTTCTGAAGCACCCTCGTTTTTTTCCTCAGCCGTTTATACTGCGACAGGGATGTAGCATGCAGAAACAAAGAGCCCCTTGAGAACTTGAGGAGCAATAAACTGCTCCGACGTTATCCGATGTCTCTGGAGGTTTTCAAAAATTGTCATACACTCCAGTCAATGTACAGAAAAAAGAAGCAGTCTTTGTAAATCTACCTGTGCGTCACTTCAGACATGCCATGGCATGTCACAGTAGGCAGATATCAAGGGGTGGTTCTTATAGAGTAAACGTTCTCTGCAATCTCTACATCGTAGAGGGTGGCCAGGAATGTCCCACAGGAATGAGACAGTGCCATCCGCTCTGATAACCTTTGAAGGAGCCTGTAGCGCGATTCCCTGATCACGCGAACCCCAACAGTCTGATGGATGGTCTACCAGGAGACAGTAGGGGTACGCCAGTTAAGGTATCCTAGACGCACGCTCAGGGTTTTCATAATGAATTCACTCCCGGTAAATGAGGAGGCCATTCGTTTCGTCTCCAGGATAAACAGAATACCCTCTGGGTACGTATACGTGTGTCACTGAGTTTCCACAGTCGACCTCTTCTTCAGGGTGTCCCAGTCGTCATTTTAAAACTGGCTCCTCCTGGTGTTAGGTCGATTCCGTCGATCGTCCAATTTCCTTAAAGTTTTCCAGGATTTCAACAAGAAAATACGTTCCTCGGATAACTGGGATGTACGGAGACGTCCTCCGGATCTTCCTCAGGGGGATGAATTCCAATTGTCACCTTTCAAAACTTTGGACCCATTCAAACTTCCTCTTGATTCAGTGGTGGGGAGACTCTCTTGGCATATAATGAATGTAGTGGGGACGTCCCTGTCAGTCGTACGCCAGCTTTTAATCAGTTAGGACGTGGGGGACAATTTACCATCTTTTTTTCTTCTCTCCAAAGCATGGAATTAAACCCGGTACACCCTGCGAATGTACATGACATCTATATACATATATTAACTATACAGATAGGAAATTTAGAAATAGCTGTATTCAATCCTACGCAAACTTTCCCACAAGTTAATTCTTATTTCCATGTTTATAATACAGAAAGCCAAAGATATTTGATTGCCATGGAATGCTTGGGGAATAATAATGGGTACGTGCCAGGTTCTGCTGGCAATAATAATAACAAGTCCCAATATAACGTTAAATCTCTTGGTTTATCGATATTCTCCTATTTCTTCCCTTTATATATCTTCTACTCTTATTATACAACTCCCATCCTTTTTTTCCAGATTGTCAGCTTCCTGGCTTGTCTTGTTCTCTTCTATCTTATTCTCTATGTCTTATTCTCTTCTATCCCCGGTGTGTCATCCTTGCGCACGTACACGGTGCATTTCAATGCGACGTCCCCGTCGCTCCCGGTTGCTCGTCTCTCCTGAATCCTGAGGCCGATTTTTATGCTCGTCTTACACGTTGTGTTGCAAAGGTCTGGAATCGATCGAGGTCGAAAATAACACAGATTCTGGGAAGGTCGAGATAGTTGATGGGGAAGGTAAAAATGGGTGAAGAGATACACGTATAAGCAGTCAAAGAGAGAGAGAGAGAGAGAGAGAGAAAGCAAGGGAGGAGGTGAGGAAGAAAGAGGGTGGAAATAAAAGAAGGCAGTAAGAGATGCTAGTAAAGATAAAATTTCTATGGAATATATAAGGGATGATTCGATGAGTAATAGACTGTAGTAATAAAGAAACGTATACTGATGTAATACGTACGCAGTGTACAGTCTGTGTCAAAGTAACAGCTATTCCAGGAGCAGAGGGTAAGGGTCGTCCAGTCGTTGAACGTAGTGTTGAGTTGCAGAGAGTACTCGTTAGCCAATTTACTGTAATGAATTAGTGGATTAATTAATTGTCGAACGAATGTGTGCTCTCACGCACTAACCTGACTATAATCGTATACCTCTAGGTCGTCGACGCATACCTAATACCCGGAGAGGTGTGCAGCACCCGGCATAATCACCGATACGTTAATTAGCTCGTTATCATTAATTCAGGCCAATTGTAAGGCCGTGGAATTAATTAGCCAGCTGCCATTTGGACGATCGGGAAAACTGGTCCCGCGGCTGCTGCCACCATCCTCGTCCTCCTCCTCCTCGTATGGAATATATATTGCTGCTGTTATATCCACTGAGGGAATATTCTAGAGGATAGATCCCGCGGGAGTTTTAGGAATTTGGGTCGTGGGGTTTCTTCTCGGTCCTCTTCCTTCACCTCTTCTTCACTGTATCATCCTGTCCTCCTCGTCCTGTCTACCCGGTGCAAGCAGAGCCGACGGAAGAGGGGACCCTGTCTAATCTCGCGGTTCGTTTTATTCCCCCGGCGATTTGTCCACGGGAGCTATCTGAGGAACGCTAAATCCACGGAGGCAATTTGGATATTGCCTTTCGGATCAGACGCGACTAACCAAACCTCGGTAACCGTTCTTACCCACCCTTAGCTATCATGGACCCAGTCCATTTATTCTTTTCTTCTCCATTCTTTCAGTTTTCTTCACGACGACTACGACGACGGATGTCCCCTTGGCGATGACTTTGTGCCAGGGATGTATCACGTTGACTTAATATCCTGATGGCCATTATACTCTGAAAAAATTAATGTTTCGTTATACATATAATATACATATATATAAGGTGCTTGAATAGGGTGGATGGGTGGGCTGTTACATAACGACAGAGAATATCCGGACTATGGCTACTTGGAAGATCAATAGCCTGTCACGAGAGAAACTTGCAAGGATCTACGTTTCTATCTATAGAAAACTCAAGTGGGATATATGAGAAAAATATTCCTACGATCTGACGTAAGGATGACCCACTATGGATACAAGACATTCTAAAAGCATCCTCGTCGGTTGAATTCCTCTTCTCATCTTATTTCTTTACTCGGTACACCTGGTGATGTGGCTGTACCTTTCTTAGCGATGGACGTTTCCTTGGTGCTCTTTTTAGCAGTCATGTTTTAGTTGGTCGTTTAGCCTTACCCTGGTCTACCCTGGTGACCCCTGGGGAATTATATTTCTCCACTGGACCAGCTCCACATCTCCTGACGTCGACTGGAATGCTTGATTCACATTGCAATTGGACAGACCTTAAAGTAAGAGGATTTGACCTGAACTTTTCCAATGACTTTTCCTTGGGGTTGATAAAAAAAAAATTTCTTCACCAGGACGCCGTGCTTCCCTACGGTATCTGGTGATGTACGTCTTACGGGGATTTTATCAACGGAGACAGTAGCCATCTCGCATTGTCTCGAAAGCTGCTTTCTCCTCGTCGATTCCTTTGGGAATAAAAAGTACTTTGACGTCTGTTACATCCTTAGACGTCCTCCTTTTCCACGTCCTTGTCCTCTTCCTTCTTCTTGTGTTCTTCGATTCAGCCTCTACTCTTGGGAATCACTTATTGACTTATCGCCTTCATAATATCGATACGATAATGAAGTCTGTGAGAAATTTCCGCCGTAGGCAAACATTCTCAGAACCAGTCGCTTCCGGATACCAAAGAGAATAGCGAGGGGAGAGACGGTTACGGGATTGTAAAGCGTTTAAATTTCTCGGTAAATTAAATTGTACCCACCTAGTTGTTTGAAGCTAAGAATAAAATCTAAAGCGAGTTACGCCAACGGGAATGTCAGTTGGATGTCCAAGGTGAAATTAGGTCGTCACCTTGATATATGTAACCTGGTTCGTTTATACGTGTATATATTCTCTCTTTTGCATAATTTCCGGCATCGTCTATCGACCTCGTACAGTTTGCTTATAGTTATCATCCTGATCCGTCACGACGCGTAATCAATTCTTGATAATTCATGAAAGCATTCATCAAATAAACGTCACTTGTCAGAAATAAAGTACAGAATAAACATACCTAATATTATGGGCTTATTATGTAATTTGGAATTTCATTTTTTTTTCCAGAAGCGACGCCGACCGTCGGTGGTCCCGTGTTTGAGGCGCCCATCGGTAATCAAACAGCGCCGATTGGACGCGAGGTGGTTTTTTCCTGCAGCGTTCGCAATGTCGGCAAGTACAAGGTGAGTCAATTCTCATGGCTATTAACATAATAAATATTTTCGATATATCACCCTCCAACAAGATAGATGAAACTCCAATGGGACTGAATGATTGCTCAAATTGTTACAAGCCAACAGCGCAAGACATAGTTATTGGTAACATCGTGACGTCGAATAAAAAATACGAAAGGAAGAAAAACAAAATAGCAGACATATAAAAAAAAAGTAAAGAAAATAGGAACCTTTTTATTTTTACGAAATCTCCTTTTCGTTTCCACCTAACTAATCCAGCTTCTGAAAATCCCAAGAGGGCTCGACGAGCGTTAATGCCGTCTATACGAAAAGTGGAAAGTTCCAGAATGTTCTTGAAGGTAGCATAAGGTGGCCAGGATAAGGTAGATCGAAAGGAATCTAAGGAGGCCTGGATGGGAAGCTCACCCTGGTCCAAGGGGATCCATTCGGGTGCCTGGAGGTCCTGTAATTACGCGATCCATTTATCATACGAAACAGCATTATCGCAGAGTTTGCATAAAAACTAAGTACCCTGGCCATTATCCTGTCTATACATCCATCTTCAGCCAGGCCAGCCATACTTGCTCTCTTGGTTCTTCCTATCTATCCTATAGGATTCCTCCCTAGTTTATACTCCAATTTCTTCCTTCCTTCCTCTCTCTCTTGTTCGTTCAGCAGGCGCTGATAAAGATGCGTCAGCGTGTCTCATTAATTCTTTTTGTCCACGAAACCACCTCCCGTACTATCGGATCATCCTGTAGAGTTTGCTTTAGTTCTTGTAGCCAGGGACGGTGGTCTCCTGTGAACCGATATAATTAAGCTGAGAACTTGCTGCGTCGTTAAGCCGCATACCTTACTTTACTGGTTAACTATAACTGATGCTGGTGCAATAATTATTATGGATATAGATGGAATTAATGTACATTATCATAAACTGGAAAATCCCAATTGAATTTTCAGATTGGCTGGTTGCGCGCCTCAGACAATACCATCATATCAGTTAACGCCAGAACAGTCACTCAAAACTTCAGGATCACTGTATCTTATGAGATTGGTCGTAGTGCTGGAACATCATCAGGGACCAGGATGAATGGTACTAACCAGTCCCCCGAGGGCATGGTGGAAACCTGGAAGTTGCACATAAAGAAGTTGGAGGATAGTGACGGTGGTTGTTATATGTGTCAAATAAATACAAGTCCTATGATTTCGCAGCTTGGCTGCGTTGAAATTTTAGGTAACAATATGAGACAATGTTTATTGTTATCAATGTTGGTCATAAAAATGTTAATAGAATTACCTTTATTCACAGTTCCACCTGACATCGTAGAAGGTAGTGACACCAGTGCTGATTTGGCAGTTTCCGAAGGAGGAAATGCCACTCTTAGCTGTAAGGTTACGGGGAGACCTATCCCCAGAGTCTCATGGAAACGCGAGGATGGCGAACCCATTTCCATTAGGCAGACATCACCCTCACCTCTTGGTCAGTAACAAACAAACTTAAGTATCTTCTTAAGACGAAACGTCATTGGGAAGTTCGAAATCTATGTGGAGTATTCGAACAGTTTCAGTAATGGACTATCCAGTTGTTTCTAGGAAACAAGACTGTCTCGCTGTTAGTTTCTCTCTCTCTCTCTCTTTTGCTATTTCTCTCTTACTCTCTATCATCCTAAACTTTGAAACTTTGTTGCACTTCCCCCATTGGAATAGAATGGTGTTACAGGGATTTACAAACTCGACGTAAACACCAAGGGAGACGAATGTGCCAGCCCATAGAACCTAACCTAAAACTACCATCCTGTATCTATATAATCTACTCCACCTAGAGTACTCCTCAGGAACAGTATGGTATATAGTGGCCAGCTGTTGGAACAACTTCTTGCTCTTCAGGAACTCCTGGGAATCCTCCTTATTGGCTCGTGCCGACCTCGTGTACGTATCTACCTATCGCTACGTATCGTATCTACGTATGTATACTATGTACGTAGGTACCCTGTATACGTAGATACAGGTACATACGGGGGGTCAGGAACTTTCCAGTTTACAAAGTTCTTCGTTCCCGCCAGCTCGTTGCTCCTCCGCACCCAAAGCACTGCTCTCGAATCGAACTGCGTGCTCCAAGAAGTTTCTTCACTGTCTTCTCATACTTGCTACATCCTTGTCCCACCTTCAACCAGGACTTCCGCTTCCTCTTCCTTCTTCTTCCTCCTGTCGCCCAAGGTACCCTAACGGTATCCTGACTACGTCTACTCTATATTTTGTATCCTCGTTTAGATTCCCGTTCAAACTCCAAAGAATCTCATGCTCAGGATGTTTTCTACAGGTGGAAACGGTTTTGTAAAGTACGACATGTACAACGGATCCGTTCTTCAATTTTACCGTGTAGAACGAAAACAAATGGGCACATATTTATGCATCGCCAACAACGACGTACCGCCGGCTATTAGTAAAAGGGTTACCCTAACAGTAGAATGTGAGTATCATATGTGTTCCTGACGAATACCCATTGTTCTCCAGGATTACAGCTCTTTTTATACCAACCTATACACTACACCCTGTGACCCTCTTCTCATTTTCACGCAGTCGCGCCCGTGGTCAAGGCACCGAATCAGCTTTTGGGAGCGCCCCTCGGCACCGATGTACAACTAGAGTGTTACGTCGAGGCCTATCCCAAGACTATTAATTACTGGTTGAAGAACAGGGACGAGATGTTGCTAGATGGGTAAATATTGTACTCCCAAACAAGTGGTTACAGTCCAATGAAAAAGTTTCTCTATACGTAATTCATCATATGCCTGAATACTTTGCATTGTGCAGAGCGAAATACAGCATCCGTGAAGAACGCTCGGGCTACACGGTTTTAATGTGGCTTCTAATTAAGGGCTTTACGCGCGATGACGTGGGTAGTTACAATTGCGTCTCGACCAACAGTCTAGGCAGGGCTGAAGGGACGCTGAGACTCTACGGTAAGTGTGCTTCTCAACGGATACGTATATATCAGGAGCTTGATAACTATTACGACAGAGGGAAACTTCCTGGGAGTTTCTAATGATTTGCCAAGTATTCTGTTATACGTACATATACATATATATATATATATATATACCGTTCTCATGCTATAGAGATCAGAGTATACAGCGAGAACAGGGGGTCCCACGGGAAGGATCACATTTCCATAATTGGCGGTAAGCATCGTCCTCCAATCTCGCGAGTATCCATTAACGTTAGATTAGCCGTTACCAATGGCGATGGAGCTGGAATTAATCTTTCTTCATTTTTCTCTTTTTCCATTTCCTTCTTTTTATCTCTCTCTCTCTCTCTCTCTCTCTCTCTCTGTCTCCTCCATTCCCCTCATTGCTTTCACTTGGGGTATAGGTCTCGCCGAGGCTGCCAGGGGCTCTGGCGCTAGCAGAGGCAACGACAACTCCGGGAACAACTTCAGCTACAGTATCAGCCTGATTCTTCTACTGCTGCCGGCGCTCTGGCCCCGGTGAACGCATGCCGATTTCCCTAGGGTGCACCAGAGTATGCTGTACTTGTAACCGGAATGATTTGTGCCAAACTAACTGGAGGTCCCCTCTCTACCCCCTCCGCTCCGCCAAACCAATCCTCTCTTTCTCACTCTCCTCCCTTGTTCTCTCACTTTTTATTCCCTCTCTCTCTCTTCCCTTCTTCCTTATCCGTCGGCAAGAAGTCGTGCATAAGGGCTCTGCCGAAGAGAATCGCGACTGCAGTGCCATCTGTTCCTAAAATAAGAACCATCCATCAAGATTGTCACTTGACAAAGGTACAAGAGGCGCATATTTTATGCAGAATATTATAAATGGGAAACTGATCGGATTCCCTGAGCTTTCTTAAATAACGATGCTTGGGCATTCAGGGATTTTAATTATACATAATTACTAGTCGCTAATGGAAGAGCACCCCAGTGTCAGTCTTAATGAATTTTTAATAGCGCCTTTTTTTTTGTCTTTACTTTGAATTATTTAAGAAGCTGCTCGCGTATATATCACTGTCGATCATTACGCAGATAAATTACGATAATCATATCAACGTCATACATATCCTTTCAACATATCATTTTAATGATTATACAATCCCTGCCACTGGTCGATCAGTTTCATCAGTTTTAATCTTACGGCTCAAGCAATCAACGGTATTATTAAATAATCATACAAGAAGGGAAGCAGAGGGGGAAGAGCTACGCCGTCTAAATGAGAGCACCAGACAATGACAGAGTATGAAAGGGAGAGTAAGAGGAGAGAAAAGTAACTATGTATTCAAGACTAAGGAATTCATCACCACTAAATAAATGATACATAGAGGAGAATGGGCATATTTGCTTTAGACCCTACCGAGAGAGACACTGGACCCTCTTTTAACCCTCTTAATTCATTTGAGCCATTCATTTTATTTTCTCTCTCTCCCTCTCTCTCTCTCACACACACACACACTCTCTCTCTCTCTCTCTCTCTCTCTCTCTCTCTCTCTCTCTATTTAATGCCCGTACTTAATGGGTAAGACAAGGGTCTACCTGCACTAATAGTCGAACGGGACCACGTTTGCGGATAGCCTCTTGTAGTACAGTGTACTATATACAACTACTACATCTACATCTATGGATGAAGCAGTACATGAATAGCAAGGGGAGACGGGCGTAGCGATGTGTCTTGCAACCTACTACGTTAATAAATTAGGCTCATTAACTGGGACTACGCAATAGGACCAAGTAGTGAGTCAGTCAGCCAGTCGATCTGTCAGTCAGCACAGCAGCCAAAGAAAGCAAAGTCCGTTCAGTGTTCTGTCGTTCAATAAAGAGTTTGAGTGAACAGAGAAAATCCTAATATTAATTGTCTTACGATTTGTCTATTCGAAGTTGTGCGAACTGCATCTTCTCTGCGTCCAAGGGAAAACGTTGACCTGAAACACTGAGATGGGACGAGGATGAGAATAAGAGAGAGAATAAATAAAAAAGATGATACTAGATAGAAAAGGCGCATACCATTGTATAGAGGGACTCATTAAAGCTTTGCGGACAACGGTAGGCCTTATTTTTAAGTATCACTTCGTACTTATCAGGAACCGCATTCCTTCGGGACCTCCGTTCCTTCCTTTGCATTCAATATACTAAGTGCATCTATTATATACTGTTTCTACGTTGTACTAGTTTAAGGGATTAAATAAAGACATAAGGAGGATATATAATAGATAAGAATTTCATTCTACCTTCGCATCTGTCTTTGTGATTTTCATTTGCTTGATTATTTTAGTCTGCAAGCAGCAAAGGGAACTTGTGAGACAATGGGTGTGCTAAGAGGATAAAGAGAATTCTAATCAATAGAGATAGAATATTGTTTAATTAAAATTATAATTAAATATTTCTCGAGTATTCAAACCACCTAGTACCTTCATACAATTTCTCTTCACGATTCAAATCGACGATGAGAAGAAGTGGGAGGCACAGCCTTTGGACGTTGGGACGTCTGGCGTTCATTCTGCTTTCAAGCGACGCTTGGTATGGACGTAAAGCGTTTCTGAAACGGTTTTTCCTATTTTCTTTTTCTTCTAGTCGTAATTTTTTACGACCCAAGTTTCAGTGTTTATTGTAGGAGCGGCAGTTACTCCACATAATAGGTAACACGTCTACGCGTGCTCTCCTGCGTACGAGAATTTTATGATAGAAGTATTAGGACATAACTTGGTAAAGTGTTTGATCACGAGTCAAATTTGTTTGATGACTTACAGGCTCTTTGCTTCCTTATTGTTTACCGGTTTAATCTTATATCCACAGGTAAGTGCGGGGTTATGTAAGCTTTGGTGGTCTTTCTTGTGGATAAGTTATCGAATTATTCCAACAGATGATGCTGTTGAGAGGCTGTGCTAGTTCCGAAAAATTCCGATAGGTGGCATAGACGTTGTCGGCCACGTTCACACGGTATGTAAATTGTGCACAGCTTCGAAATTTCACTGATAAGTTCTTCGTTATCGGCCTTTAGACTGCTACTGGGAAAGATGGTTTTTATTTAACGTTCAATTAGGGCAACTAATGGTCCTTGTCATTTGTGAACTCAGCATTCCAGAATTTTGAGTGGCATTCATTTAATTAGTTCGTGGGAAAAAGTTAAATCGCGATTTAGAATTTCTTAAGGTAGATCAAGGTCAAAGGAAAATTTTGCATTTAAACTTATGATTTTGATATCGCAGCGCCAGACGATGTAAATGCGTTGCTCACGAGTTGGACGTACATTTTACCACAGATAAGTAGGGAGATGCACAACGCTACGGTTTTATGCGATACCCAAATCATGGCGCTAAATCGTAGCGGCCAGTCCGGTCGTAG